GACAGCTGCTTTGTAACAAACAATTTCTCTTGTATTAACATTTTAACAACCACACGAACAACCATGTGCAATACCTGGACTATAATAAAGGCAATTTGCCCTCAGTAATTGTTAAAATCTGAGATGGTTTTCAACAGACACAAAACTACAACTCTCCAGACAGTGATATTTCAGACTTATCACAACTAAAACACCCTACACAATCCCTAAATAGAAGATGGTGATAAACCCCAACAGCTTGCCTCTAGTATAACCTTTGAAAAAAGTGGCAATAGAAACTCTCATAAAAGCTTAAATACCCCTTCCCATTCTGAAATATCCAAAACTTAATTATACCCATGATTTGCATAGTGTTTTGTCATTAGAACATTTTCTTACATATGTACATTATAAAACATCACTAAAGTAAGGCAAATTAAATATAGCATGAAAATTCTAGAGTCGGCGCTCTGATCTGGAGAACACGTGGAGCCAAATAATGTGAGAAACTAGTGCATTGTAGGAAAGTTGCTTCACCCAAAGGCTGTTAAATGAACAGAACGTGTATTCAAAATCTCCTGAGGTACCGTCACAAATGAACAGGAAAACACCAAAGAAAATGTACATCTAACACCACAAAGATTTTGTGAAAATACCACTTTGTAAAGTTTAAAGACAAAAGTGACCAAACTGCCCCCCCCCCCCAAAAAACAATGTAGTCATGTAACAATTGCATAAGAACAGAGAACAAAGTTTGGCATGTGACGATGCCAGGCCTGCTGCCAGTTGGCTACAACTATTATCTTTAAATGACTAAATTAATTATATAATTCAAAAGCTTCAAAGCAAGAGAGGCTCCACGAGGTGCTCAGTTATGGTGTGTAATTCAATGGCATAGAGGCAACAACTCTTCAAAAAGGCCACCTGAGTTTTTAACAGAACCACACTGAGCAGCAGACATCTTGCAGGGGTTGCAGCTGGTTGTAGAAGACATTCAGAAAGAAGAACCTGGAGTTCAAATGAGGGCTAATAAGAAATGTGTTTGTTTGTTTTTAAATCCTCTCTTTACAGTCTTTGGTTGGTGGACCTGGAGCTCTCTCTTATGAGCATTGACAGCTGGTTTCCAGAACTAGAAAGATGAAATTAAAAAGCACATGAAATTGATTATCTTAGCTTGGAAAATAAATACGCTATTACTTGATCTAAGAGGTTTCTCATGAAGTAAGTGCATCAAAAGCACCAAAAAAAGAAGGAGTCTTTAAAAATCTTTCAGAGTTTACTTGGACTCATCACAGAAGCCTACTGGGACACGATCACTCTTCCATAGGAATGTATGATAAGATGGAGTGCTCTTGTGCAATAGCAGCCAGTTCTTTGAGGAACTCCGTGAAGAGGACGGTAGCGAAGACTTCTGTCCGATCCAGAGAGATGGCTTTGGGTTTTTGTGGCGGTGAACTCTTCAAGATCCTTCCCGCCTCACCGTGGGTGGAGTGTTTGCTGCTGCTTTTGTCTGAGAATATGAGGATTTAATGTTACAAGTTTTGACAAAATGAAAACAATGTATACACATGGTATATTCCATGCCACGCCATGCAGTTGAATTTTGTCAAACAATATATTCCTGATTTCTCCATTTGTAAATAATTTCACCAAGAAAGTAGGATCCTAATTGCTGCTCTTCTGGAAAAACGCTTAACATGTACAAGAAAGGAAAAAATCCCTTTAAATTTGCCATCTTTTCTGGCTCTTATCTTTCCGCAAATGTACTCCCGTTGTTTGTAGCTCGTACAGCTCTGAAACCATGGGGAACCTAGTTCAAACACAGGCCTGAAACTCCAGGGTTTAGCTCAACTGCAAAGACACAGGACTTAGCAAAATCAAGTAGAATTTATTCTGGTTCCCAACAGGAGCCAAAACACAACCGATAATGAATGCAAATGTTTTGAACTTGACCCATTTTTGACAGCGAGTTAGTGAGATTGAGGAACTCAACAACCGTTTAGAGTTTATTTTCCAGTCAGGGGTGGTAATGGGGCAGTGGATAAGACACATACCTTTGGTACCTTTGCCACCATTGTGTCCCTGAGCAAGACACTTAACCCCTCGTTGCTCCAGAGGCCTCTGACATTTATAGCAATTGTAAGTCGCTTTGGATAAAAGCGTCAGCTAAATGAATAAATGTAAATGTCATTGGCTTGCCACCAAAATATTCCCCAGACTTAAAAAGAAAACAATACTATCGCAAGCCAATAAGTGTCATCCTGAACCCACTGTTGTACTGAAAATATGCTATAAAACTGATAGTTGTTATTTATACAGATTTGTTTCAAAAACATAACTATTGAGTTGAATACATAATTAGTGATGATAATATAATCTAAATAAAAGCCAAAATATGTGTGGCTAAAGAAATCTGCCTACCAGCACCTCTAAAGCTCACTCACTCATTAGCATTTTATATATCTTGTTAACTGTATCCATACAAAAACCGGATGAGGTTTAAGTCATGACACTTGCTAAGCTAACTGGCTGCTAACGGAAGAGTTACCGTACAGACATGAGAGTTGTATCAGTCTTCTCATCTCATTTTCGGCAAGAAACGTATTTCCCAAAATGTCCAACTATAACTTTTCTTTGAAACAAATAAATCCCAGATGTGTGTGTATTGTCACCTGCTGACATGAATGAAGTTTCCCTGGCCAGCAGCCAGTGTTGGGCGGCAGTGATCAGCTCTGGAAAGTCTTTTCTGGTGGCAGCCAAGTCTTCTATCTGGTGCTTCACGGTAGCCAATACCTGAAGGGAAACACAGACAAGACATGAGGATTACATCACATTTGCATTATTTCCACAAATGCAATTAAAGCTAAATTAATGAGAAGAACCTTGAAATCTGCATCCTTATTGTATTAATCAAGGATCTCTTAATAAGTTGTACATGAAAAAAACAGAGAAGAGAGAAAGCTTTCTTACTTAAACTTACTCAAGAGCAGCTACATTACTGCACTCGGATTTCAAACAATTCATTGAATTCCTATTTTTAATCTCACTTACTTAAACTTACTACAGCTGCTCGTTTCAACATCTTTCAGTGACACCACAAAACCCAAATCGTTTGCTTTCTTTTTCTACTTTTCTAGACAGGCCTCAGAGAATGAAAGGAAATAAAACTACCTGGTAAAGAGAGCGAACAGTCGGCTGGAAGACCAAGTTGGTGTTGAGGAGAAAAGAGCGCAGGAGAGGCTGAGGGTAGGTCGCCAACTGGGCCAGGATGCCCGTCAACAACAGGTTGACATGAAGCGAGTTGGACAGCATGTTCTCCATGCGAGACAAGAGCACACTGACAAATGGACCTGCAGAAAGAATAATCATACACAATATTTTAATTGTGCTATCCAAATGTAATTTTTGGTAAATAATGAAGTTGCTGCTGAGGGAAGATTTTTCCCTTAACTTACCTGTAAAAGGCACTGAATGGCCTCTCCCTGCACTTCCAGAGGGAAACTTGGTCCCAAACGGCGAATGCAGTTTCTCTGTCTCGGGTGTCTCAGCAGAGAAGGAGGTGAAATCCATCTCATCCTCCTCTTCCTCCTCCACCACCACAGGTGTGACAGGCTTCAACTCTCCGTCGGTTTTGTCCTGTTTTCCACCTGCTTCTGTGTCCAATGCACGAATGAGGTCTTCATATTGAGCCAAAAGGTCGTCACCCAAATCAGCGGCAGTGTTGTTTTGGACGTTGGAATTACAATCTGTCTGAACTTTGGCCTTTGTGGCCATCAGAGAGGTTGGAAGCGTTAGACTGAGTCCGTTTATTAGAGGAACATCAACAGTGCCTGGTTGGGTTTCTTCTGATTCAGACCCGTTGGAGGTGAGCTTTCCGCGCTCGACATCTCTGGCATCTTTCTTGGCAACAAGATCATATACCATGACGTCGTCCTGGAACTCATTTTCCTCAATATATGAGCCTTTTACCAACATGATGGCTGTTTTCCTCATCCTGGATGTGTTTTGGGGGCTCAGCAGGAGGCTGCTGCGGACGTTTACTCTCCACAGGAGCCTCAGCAGCCTGCACCGGGCACGCATCGTAACTATCATCCCACTCCAGCTCCAGCTGGTTGGTGGAGGGTGGCTCTGTATTCGGCGCCGGGCAGGGTTGAGGGCGCAGAGCAAGCAGCTGTGGAACTTTCTTGAGAGCCATCTGGGCTTGCAGACTCTTCAGCCCTGGATCCTCGAGGACGCCGGGCTGGTATTTCTCAGGAGGGGGGTCCTCACCGTCGTACCGGGCTGACCAAACCTGGCAGGCCCTTATGCAGCTGCTGATGCTCAGACGGGCATCATAGAGGTAATGAAGGTAACTGACATCCAGGGTAGATTTCTGAGCCGATGGTGCAGGAATTACCTGAGTCATCATCCTCTTCTAAGAAGCTCTTTTTCTTCTCTGGAAAAAATAGATAGAAAATGTTGATAAAAGCTGGCGTGCAGTGCCTCCACGCAGTACTCACACAGAGCAGAACTAATGAGTTTGACATGTAACTACAGGGGGTAAAGTGATGTAATGCTGTAAAACAGCAGGAGATCTCACCATTTGATAAAATACTCATCACCTCTGTTATATGTTCATGTCCCAGGTAAATGCAGATAACCAACTTGCAGTGAGTGCACTATACTCAAAACCAAGTTTGAACTGATTTTGAAACTGTAATGTTGACTAATTATACCCCTTTATTATGTTTTGGTTTTAGTACTCTAGCTGCTGCAATAAATGACTTTCCAATTTCCTCTGTTATGCTCTGTTTATTCTGAGGTTATAACATGCACTCACTCAAATTGGGTTATGAATAGTAAAAGCTGCTGGATGAATTTGCCTTGCAGCTGATTTGAAAGCAGCAAAAAAAAAAAAACAACAACATCCGGAGAGTGCAATGTTGTAATAGCCCATTGAAATTATGTAAAAAAAAAAAAAAAAAAAAAAAAAATAAGATCTGTAATAAACCACACAAAATGTTTCTTTAATGTCCTGTTCCGCTTACCGGTGGCACTGGTGTTGCTGGGAATCTCTGCCCCCTTGGAAAAGAGGATGGAGTCCAGCTGTCGGAGGGGCGGGGGGCTGTGATCAGGAGAGCAGCAGGACGGCGTTAATGCCAGGATCTTAGCTGCTGACACAGAGTAGCAGTCCCTCTCCCTTACAACACGTCTCTGACTCAACATCATGTGATTACAGGGGATCAGGTACCTGGGTAGGCAGATAGGAATGGATTCTGTTAGGAAAACCAATGGGTGGTAGTACGAGGGGTGGGTGAGTGAGCAGACAGATGGTAACTGCACTAATCTGCACGATAGGAGGTAGAGAGTAAAGGCTCATCATGTCATAAACCAATTAGATGTACAGTGCTTCATAACTGGGATAAGTCTGTGTGTGTGCCACTTACCTCAATATGAGCTGCAGCATCACATCTTCACAGTATAAGCCAATGAGAGTGCGGAAAAGTGCCAGTGACACGGTGCCCAACTGGGGAGTTGAACAGAAAGTCACAGTGAAACACATGACAACAACTGAGGGTGTCGTTTTTTGATGCTACTGCTGAAACGTTAGTTGATTCGTCAAGCAACAGTATTTGTCACCTCTAAAACAAAATTGCCAATCATTCTTTGGTCACAGCTTCTCAAATGTGAGTATTTGATGCATTTTCTATTTCACATCTTTGTAAATTGAATATATATTGGGTTTTTGACAGTTGATCGGACAAAACAAGCAAGCCATAATATAATAATAATCAACAGATTATTTCATAATAATATACAAAAAAATAATGATTGGCAACTAAATGTTTTACTAACAAGATACAGCCATCCCAGCGGCTCTGTGAGACTGTACTTAGGCACAGCAGTACTTTGGGCTAAATGCTAACATCAGCATGCTAACATGCTCACAGTGACGTTGCCGACATGCACATTTTGAGCTTTTTTACCATGTCAGCCATCTTAGCTGAGCTTGTCTGTATGCTAACATTTGCTGATTAGCAGTAAATGTAAAGTCCAGCTGATGGTAATGTCATTAGTTTTTAGCAACAGGAAATGTGAGGGGATCACCAAAGTGATTAAGATTCATTCTCTGCTCCAGAAATAGTTCAGCAACATTCATGTTCCCCAAAGTGGTGGACCGACTGATGAACTGACAGACAGACACCCACAGAGACATACCATTTGCATAGCTAAAACACTGTGCAAAATCTAGCTAAAAATAGATGATTCAATATTGTGACAGAATATAATTTCAAACTTTATGTGTATATGTTTTACCTTAAGTCAAAGGCACTAAAAACTAACATCCCAAACTGCATGAAGAATATGACAAGAAAGAAGTGCCAAGTTATTAAAACATCAAAGGTAAAAGCAAACAGCTGAACAAATAGCTGAAATGGGCAATATTTGCATTTTAGTCAACGATTAAATTGGCTCAAGGTCAAAAATTTGAAAAGCAAACATGTTTCTTATTTTTCACTGAGTTGCATGTGTGTCAAAGCTGACTGGCAGCAAACGCTGGAGGGAGCTCCCTGAGCCGTTATACAGTTAATGTGAAGTATTTATTCATGTTAATGACTTAGTCCTGACAAAATATGTCAGCAAGATGTTCCAACATATATGACTGTTTTAAAATGCTGATACCAGTTACTTTGCTACCAGCATATGTCACTGCAATTGAGCATCACCATGGCAACAATCTGCCCGTTTTGGTGCTGACATTTAAAGTTTCACCATGGGTCAAGGTGCCTCTTGGGCAGTGCTTCTGGAGTTATTAAACATGAGTCATGCTGTATTGTAAGGCAATGTGTGTGTGTGTGTGTGTGTGTCAAAAAAACAAAACAACAAGTGTTCACTCGTGTTTGCTGGGTTTGCCTTGTACCTGGAAGGGGGTGTTGATGCGGCTGACTAGAGTATCTAAAATGTGGACGTTCTCATGTTGGTGGAGGAGGATGAAGGAGAGGAAAGTCTGCAGCAGGGCCGGCTCAGAGACACTCCTCAGGAAGAGGTCGAGATACGCTGTGGTGGTCATAACCTCTTCTAGAGTCAGCTTCACAGAGGTAGGAAGACAGGAGTATGGGGTCAACGAATAGAACAAATAAAACTTCTTGCCAGAGAAAATCTGATGACCATGCTTACAGTAAATAGCAAGATGTTGGTATTCTAAATTTGAGTATCCAGTACACGGTTTATAACTGTATTAATTTGTAAACTCTAGTTCTTCAGCTGTGCACAGATAAAATGGAGCAATTTTAAGTATTTTTCTAATGAACTATTGAGTAAAGGAGTTTTAATGTTGCATACGCCAATTAATGGTTTAAAGCAATCAATCATTTGGGGAAATATACTAATTTACCCAAATAAGTATATCTACCTTTGATAAGAAGATCATTACCACTCTCACATCTGTGCAGTAAATATAAGGCTACAGCCAGATGCCGGTTCGGTTAGCTTAGCTTAGCGCAAAGGCCTGGCCTATACAAAAGGTAAAAAGTCCATCCATCAACCGCTCATCCCGCATACAGGGACTGCTTACATCAGGCGAAAGGTGGTCCATCGCAGGGCCACATAGACAAACAAACATTCACACTCACATTCACACCTAAGGACAATTTTGGAGACACCAATTAACCACCTTTGGATGGTTGGAGGAAGCCGGAGCACAATCTTCACACAGAAAGGCCGGGGTAACCGGGGTTTGAACTCATGACCTTCTTGCTATGAGGCGACAGTGCTATCCATTGCACCACCGCGCCTCCCAAAAGGTAAAAAGTAAATCTGCTAATTTTTTTCTACTTTAGGACAGATTCAGGCTAGCCATTTATCCACACGCTAACTGTCTCCTGGCTGCAGCTTCATATTGAACAGATAGATATGAGAGTGGTATCAATCTTCATCCCACTCTCTGCATAAGCTTTTTCCCAAAATGTCTAACTATTCCTTAAAATAAGCTTATTGGTCGTCCTTGTATTTATGTTTTCATCTAGACACATTGTATTTAAAGTGTGCCAGGTGATTTTCCAGTGGAATATACCCATCTGTTGCTCTTGGTAATAGCTAAAATGTCATCCAGAACAATAAGGTACTAGGTAATATAAGGTAATACTGAGGAGCATGATCAATACTTTATTACCAACTTCCCCCTGGAGTATACTGTATGTACTTGTCCAAATGAGATGGAGATGAAGAGGAAAAGGAAGATCACCTACCTTGTGCAGAGCTGGTGCTAGGACAGGCACAAGGAATCCATTGTAGATGTAGCTAACTAGCTGTTCTCTGATATCAGGGTGCGCCACCTGGTCAATATTAAAAAAGGCACATGTCATCAAGAGTGCAGTCAAGCAGAAGGCTGCAGCCATTTACCATGTGTAAATATATTTTTGATGTGGCATAGTCTTATGCGTGCAGCCTTGTTACACGTTTTCACCTGAATAACAGCGTTGCAGAACTCCAGTGAGTTGAGAAACTGTATGAGGGACGGCATCTGGAGCCAGTCCTCTCTGTGCAGGCAGTGCCACTCCTCACTGGGAACCTCCAGCTTGGTGGGCAGAGATGAGTACAGACCGCTCAGCCCTGTGGCCAGCACCTGAGGGTGGTGAGAGGTGCAAACATCAAATAAGAATATACAGTCTCCTAATAGGTCAATAGTTGATTTGGGATCACTATTGGCTATTTGTCAATTTAACCGCAGGTCAAAGATTTCACTATCAAATATATCAACATCTACAAAACAGATTGGAACTATAATTTTTAATACACATTCACAGCATGTATTCTAATGACTTTAGAGATACTTTTTCCTCTAACACCACCAGTTCTGTGTGAAAAATCTTTACAACTATCAGATGGATTGGCATGAAATTTGGTACAAATGGGACCCCCACCAGATGACTTGCAACAATTAAATCCCCTGACTTGTCTTTTAGTGGCATCATCAAGTCAAAAATCCTAATATGGTTTATGACTAAATACTTTTAGTCATAAATCCTTGACATTCCCTTCTGCCTCAGCTGTACTTTGTACTTTCTAGTACTAATAAGTAAATTTTAGCATGCTAACATGCAAAAAGGATATGGTGAACATGGTAAACATTATACCTTCTGAACAACATCTCCTCTACTTTCTCTCCCTCTGTATGCAACCTCATCCCATTATTGCATGTTACTAACACAACTTCTCCCCTTTCCCGTAGTCTTGTGCTTTCTCATACTCTCCTCTCTCCTCCTACAACTTCCTGCAGGTGTTTCTGGCTCTGGAGCTGTGGAGTCTGGATCTGTGGTTGCGAGTCACCTGCTGCCCCCGTGTTCCTGCTCGACACCCACTGCTACAACAACTATTGTTACTAGTCCTATTGGTATTATTGTTATTATAATCATTAACATTACGATTATTATCATCAACACTACTATAAATATCTGTACCATTTTTCATTTAGTCTATAGCAACATTACCTTTATTGTCTGTACCGCCGTGTGTATATATTGTGTAGTCCCCCCCCCCCCCAACCGGAAGTTTTCCTTGTCTCGTCGCCTAGTGCTTGCTCTTGGTGGGAATTGTTGGGCTTCTTTAAATAACATCATAGAGTTTGAATCATAGAGAATTGAATTAAACTATAATACCACTTTAATTTCTCACTATTGAGCTGTTAACCCCCACAGCAAAACTACACTGTGAAAAAGATTAGGCCTGTATGTTTTACCTGTAGGCTACTGTGCTGCAAACCTAGTATCATGTGATATATACAGTCTAATGAAAAATAATCTGACATAAAGTGATTGCAGAGAGAATATTATGGGCTTCATTAAACATTAATGAGGCAGTGTATGGCACAAATGATTTATGCACGGCTTCGCAGTTTTATTTTCAGCTTCACAACAGATTTATAACAGTATTTTACTGCTAACTTCAAAATACATGGGCAAATAATTTCTTCTTTTCCACTTATTGCTAATGTAATGCAGATGTAAGCAGAGCACTGCAGCAGCCTACATGTCAGCCTGCCTGGTTCTTCTCGCACAGTAAGACATGCGCATGCATATGGATTTATGCATCCCACAGGTCAGTTCTATAAATAATTGTGCAAAGAGTTTTATTGCCTATACCTTTCCTGTCATAATCAGGAAATTAGGTCAGTAATTAATGCATCAATGTCAGACTTCCCACATAACAAACTGTCAGTATTATTATGATTTACAGAGTAGGATTTCAAACAACAAAGGCTATAACCACGCAGTCGTAACTGTAAAATGAGTGCATCATTAGTGTTGATGTATACGTCCTCTATAGGATTATCCTTTTAGCCTGCCAGTGGAACCAATTAAATTCAGACTCCAATTGTTAAATGGCATTGCATCAAAAGCAATTTTCATTGCAATGTCTGCAGCTGCGGGTAAATGGCATTATTTACATGGGATTAGCTTGCAACTGTGCCATAATCTTGTGAATGGCAGACATTTGCAACATCCATTGCCAGAGATTTAACCTTGCACCAAGTGGCGTCGTGAATTCATCTGCATATTTTGGTCTGATCTTAGAGTGGCTGTGAGAGAATAAGAGTAGACAATTCTTCACTCAAAAAAAGGTTGATTTAGTTGGGAAAGTTAAAAAGAGTCTGGGGAGATTCACAGATAGCAAGAATCACCACGTGAAGAGAAGAAGAAAAGGAAAGATAATTTCCCATTTGGGACTGACCGGACAGAAGTAGGTATTTTCTGCGATGTGTTTGGCCACTCGCTCATTCTCAGCAGACAACGACATAATGAGCAGCAGTGCATCTCTGGCTTGCTGGCCCACCGTGCCCTCCTTGTGGATGAAGGGGATGAGCAGGGAGAAAATGAGGAAGTTGGTGGCTCCCTGATCCTCACTTGTGTGGAAAAACAGCTCCAGAATTGAAGGGTCCTTTGCCAGAACGCAGCACAGCTGGTTGAGCAGCAGCACCAGCTCGGCTTCCACCTCTGGCGCTGCGGTGCCTGAACAGGACGACAGCAGCATCATGAGTGGCCGCAGGATGGGCTTGTGATGCAGCAGAGGCTGGTGCGCTTGGCCCACCAGCATCTCGTACATCTTTAGCTGCTCCACCTTCATGTCGTCTGTGAACTCCCTGCGGAGGCTCCACACAAAGAGACGCTCCATCACGTTCTCCATGACCACAAACTCCAGGATCGGGCCCATGGCTCCGGCCTGACCGCTCTCCTCCTCCATGAGCAGGAACAGCATGTGCTCCACATAGTTCTGCACCGCACTCGCTTCATCTCCGGGGATGGTGCCAAAACGAGGGCCGCCGCTAGAGCCAGCGCTGAGGTTGATGACACTCAGGGAGGGCAGGGTGGAGTTGCTGCGCAGGGGATCATGCTTTTCTAGGATCTTCACCACCTACAGTGAGAGAAAAGAGGAAGATTACCTAACATTACCTAAAAAAACTAACCTAACATTATAAGAGATAAAGGCATAGGTTGTAGAATTAGATCTAAAAAATAAACCCTTACAACATAAGGATGATTTTAGGGGAAGGTTTTAAGTAAAGAACACAATACTTCTCATCACCCAATAAAGCTGCTGTCACTTATAAACTTTGTCAGCAAAGTACCCTGTAAAGGTTTTTCATTGTAATGAAACACTTCACTACCTAATTTAACAAACTGGTCCTTTCTCTTTGTGTGATAATGTAAAAAGCAATACATTTACTTAATGTGCAGTGTGGCTGGCTGGAATAAAAACCTGCCACATTTAGGGTTTACATGGGTTAATAAGTTTGTTGGGGTGGTCGAGGCGCGGGCTGGAGACATGTGCTAGTGACACTTCAACACATCAGACAACAATCAGCCTGCACTTTGATGTGTATTTCCTTTTGATAATAAAAAATACAAAATTTATGTTACCAAAGTCTGTTTGGACAGGGACAAATCCAAATTAATTCTAGAGAAACACTGTGACACAATGTTGACTGCTCCTTATAGTTAAGAAGGCCAGCAATGGCCACCTTTTTGGAGAACACTAGCTGAAGACAGATCAACAGAAACTCAATCAATAAAATCCGAGGAAGTAAATTGATTGCTGGAATATAAAAAAAGTGCAAACAACACTGAATATGTTTCTATTTATGTTGACAAAGGATCTTAAGCATTACCACTCACATAATGTACAGTCAATTTGCTATACTATGGACACTTGACATATGGTACATGGTCCATATTTCCTTTTTATAACAGTTTTAATCTCATTTGTAGACAGTGCTTTTATAGCACATTAAATAAAAACTGATATGTTGCAGGTAAAATCATTCGCTTCTTCCTGACAGGTGAATTATTAACAATAATGGGGTGTCAATAAACCAGCAGCATAGTACAGATAAACTCAGTTTGGTAGCACAGGGTAAAACAGTCCTTTGCGTATCCAGACCCTCCCTTGTGTGTCCGCTGCATAGAAACCAGAGTCACAGTAATAGAGCCAATGTCCCCAGCCTGCCACTGCTGCCAAGACAATAACTGGCTGTGCACAAGAGAACTGGGAATGGCCGATGGAAACAAGAGAACAGGGTTTGTAATCCCTGTCTGAGCCCGATGGGGCCTGGCCCAGTGGCCCGAGGCTCAGGAATCAGTCCGGTGCAGGCTCCAAGGACATTACTGCAGTGACTGGAAGGGGCCAGGTTTGAAAAATCACTTGAGGATTTTACTTACTGGACATACGGAGGAGTCAGAATGGCGGTTATGGGCTGCCTGCTGGCCTAATACTGACACAATCAAGGACAGCTGCAGACAAGGTTACGGTTTGTTAAACTACGATGCCTAGAGTATGTATATTATTTGCAAAGCAAGTCTGAGTATTTATTCTAGGTCAGAATAGGTCTGACATTGCGGACAGATCAGTCGGTAGTCGGACTGTATCTGTATCACTTGTTAGAACATGGGCCATACAGAAAAAGTCAGAGGGAGCTTTCATTTTTAGGACAAGCTTGACAACTGTGACGGAGGAGCAGTGATGTCAAACTGAAGGTAACATCCCAATGCCAGACTCCAACTCCACACTGCCTTTGTTGTAATAATACACTTCAGTAAAATATCAGGTGACGCAGTTACGGCATATGGTCTAAATCGTCCGAACCACCATCTCATCCCTTCATTAAAGGAATTGGCATTGAATTTGTCGAACAGCATAAATATCTTGAAAGGATCTTTGATAGGGACAGCAACGTTTGTACTTCCTCAGGAAGTTAAATGCTTTTAATGTGGACACATAATGTGTGTAAGACAGTCTTTTATGGAATCTGTTCTTACTTTTTCTTTGATTACATGGCATAGTAACCTGAACATCAGGCAAGAAAAAACACCTGAACAATATTGTGAAGGTGGCTGGTAAGGTTATCGGTGTCTCACAGACTCCCCTGACTTTGACTTTGGTCTATATTAGACTGCACAAACCACCCTCTTCATTCTGAGTTTGTAACTCAATTCAAGTGCAATAGGAGCAAAAACTCGTTTGTTCCCTGTGCAATAACCCAGCTTAATCATCTCATGAAACCTAGAATTTTAAAAATAGATGTTTTTAGCCTGTTTGTAGTGTATTGTATGGACTGGTCACATATGTTTTGCTTGTTCTATTTTAGTGCTTCTGTTGTTTATCTGATCCTTGCATGTTTTATCTTGGGACCAGACTACATGTCTATGAGTCAGAATAATATTTCTGGTTCAGGGACCAAATAAAAGCAATAATTTGTTTCATTTTAATCATCACAGGCCACAGCTGGCAGTATACATTTAAGTGGGGAAAGCGAGAGTACAACATTTCCCCTCCTCGTTACCAACAGTGGAGTGCCCTTGACTGTCATAAAACATTTGCATTAGCCATGAATGGAATGAGTCAGTAACTCAGAAAGAGTTATAGTGAAAAGGAAGAAACTGCTACACATGCTACACTGTCTTTAGTTAA